ACAGCAAATGCAGGAATAACTTCAGTGAAGAATCCTGCACTGACACCTGTCGGATATAATCCAACGCCCTTGGTGGTATTAGCCAGGGGAGTAGTTGTTTTCTGATGGGTGTCAGTCCATTAACTTACTGTGTAGGGTGTTGAGACTGGCCTGAACGAATTGTTCTTTCAGATGATTTGATTTATAGCCAGTCCTCAAGTATGCCCACTGACTATACGTGAAAGATTTCTTTCCTTATACGAGGAATTGGGCAAATTTCGAATATGCAGTTGGTTACCTCGTTCACAGGCAGATGGGGCGACGATAAACCTGTTGTTTGTTGTAGTCTTCAGCTTAGTTCGAGGAATGATACTCTGACGGAATTCGATTTTTAATTATCGGAAATCATCGACTTTATGTTGATAATATACACTACCTTGCACTGACGAGTGGCCAAACAGCCAGAAACCGGTCTGCAAGTGTGTTCCAATAATTGAAAATCTATTGCAGCAGTTGTATCGCCAACAGCATATGCAGGAATAACTTCAATGAAGAATCCTGCACTGACACCTGTCGGATATAGTCCAATCCTTCGTGGTATTAGCCAGGGGAGTAGTTGTTTTCTGATAGGTGTCAGTCCATTAACCTACTGTGAAGGGTGTTGAGACTGGCCTGAACGAATTGTTCTTTCAGATGATTTGATTTATAGCCAGTTTTCAAGTATGCCCACTGACTATACGTGAAAGAACCACAAGTGTTTTCACGTAGCCCACTCAGCGTAGCTACGTGGAATCACAAGCCAATGCACTCGCCAAAAACAGCATGCACAGTGGTTCAGGCAGTGAAAGATGAACAAGCACAGCCAACCCCCCTATCTGAGGGGGGCTACACTACTTTGAAGGGAAAGGGGAAAATGAAAATTCAATGTACATTAGGAAATTACTATATCAACTGAGCGTTCATAGTGTCTTAAAACGCGTATTTAGTAGGCAGGGCAATATGAAAATTGAGAACACTCTTTCTACATTTGACAGTGAAAGATAAGTAAGTATAAGTGAAAGCTGTAGTATAAAAATTCAAAATAGTCAAAAACAAAAAAACATTAACAGACATATGTCAACTCATTGCTGTAGTAATACAGGTAGCAAAATGTATTTATCGAGGGAATAAAAGGATAAGTAGAATTTGGAACCTCTCGAGTAAAATGAATGTATTGAAAACAGTTTTCTTTCACCACACTAAAAATGCGGTCTCTCGGGGCGCGTCTACTGAGAGTCGTCTCCTGATGGTGCTAACTTGGTTAGCGAAACATTCGTCAAGAGACAGAATTTTTGTTCCAGTGAGGGAAAAGTGTTTTCAATTGAGTAAAAAGAGTTGCCGATGAAAAACATGTTATTGTTTTTTGATCATTTGTGACCCATATTTTTCACCTCAATCTATGGAGATAGTAACTGATGCGATGTGAATGAGTGGTATGTGATTTGGTTTACGTATTAATACTTTCTAAATCAATATATGACGTTCTTTTTCGTGTTTATTAACTGACAATTATTTGACTTGATAACTAGCATAGAATAACGAATATAAAGAATGTCCCAAATATATGAATATATGTAATACACCTCATAATGGAGATATCTCATACCGACTCATTGTCAGATAATTATCATGCATTGTGTTATAGTCATGTAACTTACCAACATCATCAGTTATCCGAATACTACAACAAATATGGGAATGATATAGAGAAATATACATTTTTTTCAACTACACAACTCATCACTTTGTTCAGTTGTCTTTATAGATATAACTAGACTCAGTGTCGATGTGACAATGCAATTTCAGAGAATATGAGGGTTAAGAGATTTATACACATTTAACTCTGAGAATTACAAAAAAATCGAATTATTTGTGCTTCATTTGAATTATGCTTAAAATTATTCGTTATCAACCGCTCGATTCATAAAAAATTCTTTAGCATTTGTTGATTCATACAGTATTTTATCGTAATCGAACACAATGCATGAGGAAGGCTGTAGATACATAGATCAGCATATCATTAACATAGATCATATGTTCTATGACTGACCCTTGAGGGACTCCGTAATTAAACATCTGGAAATCAGATTTGTTTTCATTACAGTATAGTACACCGCTTGTCGTCTGTAAGATAAGAAAATCACATGCCAAACTTCTTTCCAAACCTTCGGTTAAGATGTAAAATGGTGTTTATATTCACTTAGAAAACAGCCTGTGCTCATGACTATAATTCTGACAGTCCAATCTTCAATATCTGCCAGATCTCACTTTTTAGGTGCATCAGTTGGTATTGAGATGTGGAGAATTAGATCCAATTATTCCAAGAAATACATAGTCTCGTTGGTTTAACAACCACGTTATAATCAGGTTACCGTAATCACAAATTAATGACAGTTTTATAAATTACATAATACCTCTCACGACAAGCAGTTCCGATAAGAATATATCAGTTACAATCAACAAACAATAATACAAAAAAAAATACATATTATTTTCGGTTTCCGTAGTAATCATTATATTATTTGTTTTATGAAGGTGGATAAAATTGTTGATTTAAAGATACCTATTTCTGTTATATTTCACTTTCGATTAAAATCTGTTCCTCTGGAAATATTCACGTTCAACTCAAATTAAGTATTGCTTGTCGTGGAAGTATGACGAATGAACTGTTTACAAAATGACGTTCATTTTGTTTTTATTACCATGCACAATAACAGCTTGATATCGCCGAACAAACATTATATTTTTTTTTGTCAGCTGCAAAGAACTGATAAAGGTTCAGAATGTCTTGGATGATAATTAGGAATATCTAATCAAATTTTTGATTTTATTATACAATAAAATTCACCTAGTAACGGACCAACAATTTTTAGGGTTGTGTCAGTTTGTGGGAATTTATTACGAAGATGGGTTTCTTCAAAAATTGTAACTTGTGGGTGCTAACGACAAACGATGTCTTACCTATTGAAAGCAAAGACGCCCTAAAAATTATAATGCCAGTCAAACTGTAGAAAGAAATGTTTATAAATGAAATATTGAAACGCAATTGTTGTGCCTATATCTTAGGTACGAATTTGATACTACATTTACTGCTTGTACCGAAAAACCGCATCATAATGATTTAAACATACACATCTAGAACTTGGCGAATTCACCTTTCCCACGAATAGAATACGCGATTTTTCTAGTAACTTCCGGAGTCGCGAAGGTAAACATGACTAGCTTTTATTGAGTAGACAGAGTCATACTTACCGTGTGTGTAATAATAATTAGAGAAAATATTTCTGTCGATCAGATTTTGAATGAGGTTATTAATACTATTTTATAAATGATTATAATACAGGGTGTATCTGAATGAGTGTAAAACATTTAAGGAGGTGATTCCTCATCAAAAAAAAGATACAGCCCCTTAAAGGGGGTACATAAAATTTGTATAACAATTTTTTTCACAAGCACTGAAAAAGTTACAATATTGAAATTAACCTGACGTTTTGTACTACCAAAAAGACACTTAGCCAGTAATTTATTTGGTTTATCCCATGGTTGTGAGAGGTGGAAAACGCAACCCCAAAAATTTATTTCCAATGTAACTTATTATGTGTTTACCATTTAAAAATGTATTTCCGATAGCCTGTTTTATCCTAAACCAAAAATGTCCTTGGGTTTTTTGCCCAAAATTAACCAGTTCGCCGCAAAAAATTATTTAACGAACAACTACAGAGATACATCGTCATAAATGCGAACTGGATTTATTGTTATTTTGTAGTTAGTACCTGCGTTAAACGATTAAAAGATAATAAACGAAACTAATTTATTATTAACAAAACGCACAACATGCATAGGAAATGTTCAATATGTCTACCTTCAGACATTACGCATGCGTCTAGACGTCGGCGCATTGAGCCACGTATTCGCTCAAATATTCCTGGAGTATCTCTGATTACCCTGCACGCATTGATGATGCGGTTTCTTAAGTCCTCTACATCGCGAACAAGGAGTACGATAAACCAAATGCTGTAAATGGCCCCAAATAGAGATATCGAGAGGATTGAGATCCGGGGATCGAGCGGGCCAGTTCTGTGGTCCTCCTCGACCTATCCACTGATTTGCATATGTTTCAGTTAAATGCTGACGTGCTACTTGACTAAAATGGGCGGGAGCCCCATCATGCATAAAGAACATATCCTTCCTGACGCCCAAAGGAACTTTCACCAGCAGTACTGGATGCACTTCTCTTAAAAATTGAACGTATGCCTCACCATTTAATCGCGGAGGTAGAAAATGAGGCCCAATTAAATGGGCCTCATTTTCTACGTCCTTCATTTTCTACCTCCTTCATTTTCTACCTCCTTCAAATGGGTTGTTCTTCAATCAAATTAATTACTGCTTCCTCAAGCTGTGGTGTTCGTACTTCTCGATGGCGACCACAATCCTGCGTTCTTTTATCTTAACAAGTTTTTAACAAATTAAGAACAGAACAACAACATACAATTAGTATTAATTCAATTTCGAAAAATCACAAACTGACAGCGTCATACCAATTTAATTGTCACTATCGCTAATAGCGAAGAATAATAAGACAAAAAGTTTCATTGGAAATAAATTTTAGGGGTTGCGTTTTCCATCCTTACAACCATGGGGTAAACCAAATAAATTTCTGGCTAAGTGTATTTTTGGTAGTATAAAACGTCAGGCTAATTTCAATATTGTAACTTTTTTAGTGCTTGTGAAAAAAATTGTTATACAAATTTTATGTATCCCCTTTAAGGAGCTGTATCTTAACAAGGGATGCTCCAATGACATGTCTTTATATGAAAGATCCTATCTTTTTTTCGATGAGGAATCACCTCCTTAAATGTTTTACACTTATTTAATTACACCCTGTATATAAAATTACTCTAAATATAAACAATATTTTTTGTGAATCATGAAAAAAACATCTTTACTGAAGTTTGAAGAAAAAAAGAATTAGTGCCACATAATAGATAGAAACCACTTCGGTATGTAGTACAAATGGATGGTGTTCAAAGTGAACTCTACAGGAATAATTCTTCGTAACAAATTCCGAGAAAAACTGCAGATACAGTGTGAATTATGTGAGAGACAATAATGTAATTGTGAAACCACAACGAAAGTATGACTTATCCATCGACTATATGGACTATAGCCGTAGTCTTTAAAATTAGTGGCTGATCAGCATGGTACTGCATAAATTGGTTTCGATGAGGTATTGGTATTCGAGGAGATATAATAAACGGTGAGTAAATATTTTTGAATATGAGTTAATATCTTTCAGTCATTCATTCTGGATATCTCAGTTTTACAGTTTTACATTTTTTTCAAGAACAAAATACAAGCACTATAGGAAAATCAACAAGTTCAAAAACATGAAAAATAGAGATGAAGGTCCTAAAAAAATGAGCGATAGCTCATTCCATTCGGAATCACCTCTAGAAAAATGATTTTGAAGAATTTTGGTGCAGGTAAAAAATTGCAATTGTTATTAACAAAATAATATAATAAAATGTCATTTTAAAAATTTGAAAAAAATCTAGTATCTTCTTAACACTTGAATGAATCGAGTCCCGTAGAAAGAAAGTTTTATCACCATTTTTCAAAAAGTTATTCAATTGTTAACCAACACATTTTTTTCCAATCTCCGTTGGCATAAAAAATGGGATAAAAGGTATAAATAATTGGCCTATAAATTTTGAACTTCGTGGAGCCCTTTTGATATATATACTTCATACGATCCTGCGATAAAAGTTCATAAAAATTTATTAAGAAATAATTTTGCTTTTAAAAATCATAATTTACACTTTTAAATAGTTCTCTTGCGCTTTATTATTAGCAGATATAAAACCCGACCTTCCGAAACCGCATAAGAAATTTAATGACCTACTCTATTTATTATCCTAAGCTAATGTGCAAACTTTCAAGGCGCCCACGGAGTTTCTTACTCCTAACTAAATTTCATATACATCTAACTGAATAAATTCATTTTACGACCGTTGCCGAATACCGTTAATGAAAAATAAACCTTCGGAACATAGTTCGATAAAACGATCATCATGTAAAATGATTTAGTGGGTGTCTGTTTTTGTAACAGTAGTGATTCAACAGAGGCATATAACAGGAAACGGACATACTCGTATACGCAGTGCGGATAACGTTTGTGATAAACTCTTGAAGCGCATCAAAATAGTCCTCTTCAAGGAGTGCAACAAACTCTGAATGGTACATTGCTTATTGATATTTTACTAAAAATAGGCCCCTTGAAATATATCAAAATCAGTCGTGTTTTGTGTTAATCAGTTTCAATTCACAAAGAACTGAGTCGAGTTTTAGTTCAGGAAAAATTATACAGTTCAGGAAAAATTATTCAGTACTGCATAAAATGCATTAGATGAACAAATTTAAAAGATTTGAGTAATTCAAAAACATATCTGCGCTTTTTGAACAAATCCTCACAATAATTATACAGTGCATTTCTTTAATCTGTTCTGAGGCACTCCTCAAACTGTTTGAGGAGTGCCTAGAAGATGACAGTGCGACCAACTGTCGAAAGCGCTCGCAGATAATCAAATAGATGTCATAGAGCTTCAAATCCCTTTTGTAACTTACATTAATAGTAAAATATTACTATTATAAAAATTATTTCCTTTTATATTGTGTAGAATACTGACTTCCACCCGTCACCAAGACTCCAGATGACAATAGCAAAAAGCTTCTTATTACCTTCCAGTCTTTTCTACTGTTTTATGTGCGCCAATTGTTGGAGAAAAAGCGCAACTCCTTCAGCTACTAGAAAGCCCCATATACCACAGCGATAGCATTAACTTGACAAATAAGTTGACGATTTTTTTCAATAAATGTCTCCACACGTAAATAATAAATTACCGGACCAATAAAGGGACAAAGGATGTACAAATTGTTTCAATAAGTCAAGTAGATGTTTACCTATTTATTTTGGCCACTTCTGTCAACGTTTTATCGATTCACAGTTCATGTGAAAGGAACATTTTCTATCAGTGCATTCCACTTTGAATAATTGAGTGGTTTATACGGAGTGATGATTCTGATCCATTGACTCATTTGTCTTTCAAAAAAATAATCAATAATTATTGATTGAGTACTAAAAATCTACTAATTAGTCATCTATGAAAAACAAATAAATACAGGCATACTCAAAATAGATTGAAACAACGTCATTTTTCGAAAACAGTTCAGCTTCAAATAGAGATGCTCTAACGAAGACACAATAATGATATGTGCTTCAACTACAAGATCGTACGAGGTTGGTCTGAAAAGT